TTTAGACTTGTATCAATTTTTTCATGGAAAAACATGGTGTTGAAACAACTAAATAATAAGCATACGCAAATACATTAGAACAGATGTTCCCTATGTGGGATCCCAACTCACTATTACTTCGTTTGACAATTAGAGGGTGTATATAAATGGAAAATAGTAATTGGCTTATAGCTCCACCTTGTTTTACCCTATCTAAAACAAACGCATCATATTGCACGGTAATTAGAAGAGTCAGCCATGGATTCCATTACATTTTTTTGGAATTAGTTCAATAACAGATTCATTAAACAGTTTCGCTAGAGCCATGTAATGGCACTGCACTGCCAATCTAAGCAGCAAGCAGAGACTATCCTGTACCAGTCTTTCAAATGGTCACTGTTAATACCATATGTTTCGTCTCTATTGTTTGTGTCCAGACTCTGGGTAGCGCTTCAGACCATGGCTTCTAATACGCTGTGACAAGGAGCCGAGGGAGAGTGATTTATCTTGCAAATGACATTTATTTAATCCTCTGTCAGACACACTGGAATAAATAAATAAATAATTCATCTGAATCTTTTTTTTACCTTCTTTATAGACCAGCGATATTACTATCTACTGTAACCTCTAAGATCCGCTAAATGACCAGTATTAGGACCTGAATTTTTTACTGATTTCTCTTTACAGGGTTGCACAAACTCATTCCGACCAGAAACCTCATTCCTAACCCCACTCAAGTTGAGTGGGTATAGCACCATAAGCACAATTTTTCAAAATGTTCAAGATATGCATGTACAAGTCCATAATTAATACTTTATGTATAATACAACTAAACTCTGAACAAGGCATGAGAGTTGAAGGTATCGATAGATAATGTAAGTGAAATTCTAAGTGTTTTATAATTTCTGAAGTCTTCTGGAGAAACCTTATCCCATGCAACTGGAACCTTTCCTCGCCTCCCAGACAGTCACATTAGCTCTAAAAGTAGTTGAAGGTGAGACTGGCAAATTATTAGATAGATTATTTCCATCATGAATTACCTTAACAGTACTGTTTAAAATGACAGATTCGTTTAGTAAAAAAATATATATCTATAAAAGATCTCCCTAGAGAGAAGTCATATAAATAATCATGGTGAGAGGTAGGCAGTGAAGAACAGATAAAACGTTCCATCATTTAAGAATTGAAATAAGAGAGTAAGATTACGAAATGGCCTCTGACAGTCAACATTAAAATCTCCACCAATAATAGCCACTATACTATGATATATTTACAATGGCAGATATCGCATTTAACATTATAATGATAATAATAGTGAAGATGATAATAATAATGATGAAAATGATAACAATAACAATAATAATAGCAATACAATAATAATAGCAATAATGATAGTGATTATGATACTGATACTAATACTAATAATGATAAAGATTGTATCAACAGTGATGATAATGGTAATAATAACATTAATAAATTGATAATTCAAGTAATAATAATAATGATAATAATAATAATAGTAATAATGATAATAGTAATGCTAATGATAATCATATTCGTAATGATAATAATAATGATAATAATCATAGCAATAATAATGATAACAATAACACTACTATTAATAACAATAATCCTAATGATAATGATAATGAAAATAATAATATTGTTAATAACAATCACAATTATAATAGTAATGACGATGATGACTATAATAATACTGATAGCAGTAAAACAATAATGGCAATATTGATATTGATAACTATAATGTTCATAATAATAGTGATAGTAATAATAGTAATGATAATGATAATAATAATAATAATGATAATAGTAATAACTATATATATATATATATATATATATATATATATATATATATATATATATATATATATATATATATATATATATATATATATATATATATATATATATATATATATATATATATATATATATATTCACAAATTTATCATATTTAATTCTACTCAACTTCTGTACCGTTGTCATATTGTGTTTTTCAGTTTCAATTAAATATAGGCCTATTCTTCTGTATTTACTAAGCCATTAAATCTTGTGGGTAGCATAACCTAACGGTCTTTAAGGCTCGTAGGTGTGGGAAAGAATTCATTCCAATGTTGAGTGTGCCTATTATCATAATGGTCACAGAAACATTGTAATTTTTAATAATTTGTTCAATAAACAAATAATGAACAAATGACATATCATTCTGTAAATCTTAGCAATAAACATAATCTAAATAAACAATATTCTCAGATGACTCAGTAAATTCTATACCCTCCCTCTTCCTACTAATTATGAATCAATAACATTTTAATAAACAAAATAAAAATACACATGAGACGGAATGGACCCCACATCGAGTCTGCGTTCTTTCCATGATTTTTCGTAGGACATAAGCCAATCATTTCCCTTCTTTTAACCTTTACAATTTCCCTCTCTTAATGATAATTAAATTCCTTCTCAAACTATTAATTGATACTACCGGAACTGTCACCTG